GTAGGAAGGATCTGCTCACTCCCTGTCCGCTGCATAATTTGAACCCATGTACATTGTGAAGTCTTTAAATCAGAAATGCTTCTCCTCTTTCTTCTCTTTCATAGTTGAAACTAATGCAGTCAGAGTTGAATGTTGAAGAAGTGGTAAATGACAGAAGCTGGAAGGTATGGTGACATCTCACTCTAGTCAGGGGATCTTTATGTGTGTTGCAGTACATCAAGACTGTAATGCCTTTGAAGGGAATGGAAAAGTGATGTTTCAGGCTGAACTAAAATAGCTGGGATACCAATATTTTAAATAAATAGTCTTTCTCTCTTTGAAGCAGGCAAGATAGATACACAGCGGACTAAAACAATACAAATTCAGCATCTAAAATACCAGCTAAAAACAATTATATATGGATGCATGTACTAGCCACTTTTATTTAGTTATGCATGTTTTTAAACACGTTTGTATGCAGTTCATGTATCACCCTTACTAAGTGCAAGGAGAGACCCCATGACAAAGTGCAAGTTAAGCACTTTTGTAAGTTTGATTTAAGCACCTTTGTAAGTTTGATATAGCAAGGAAGCCAAAGCAGTCAATGCTCCTTTGATTTTCTGACCTCATTGTTGGGGATCTGAGCAATCCTATGGCCATCTAGACCAGCCTTCTCCAATCTTGTGCCTTCCTGACACATTTGGACTACAATACCCAGAATTCCCAGTCAGTGGTCCTGCTGGATGGCAATTCTAGGAGTTGTGGTCCAAAACCCTCTGAAGTCCACCAGGTTGAGGAAGGCTGATCAAGGCACTGTACAATAGTCCTAGGATTGTTCTGTAATTGTCTTTTCATAGAAAGTCTCCAGTTTCACTTCCAACATCTGCTGAAGGCAATAGTAAACCCTAAAATTTCATTCTGATTTATTAAAACATCTGAACCAAAACAGTTCATCTATATGTATGCTATACTTAAACCCTACAACAACCAGCAATGAAAGTATGAAGCCAGCAGGGATATGTGGGTTATCCAGTTACGTGTATGACTATCTGCCTCCTGGGCAAAATGTGCACTTGGCCATGAAGGCTCATGGCCTTCATGAACAGAAGGGGTATGGTAGGGAAAGGTAGTTATGTTGCTATTGGGCTAGAGAACACAACCAAGTGTTGGTTGCTCCCAAACTAACTCCCATTCAGGAAACCTGAGTGACCTGAAGACACTGCCACTGAATGCCAGATTGGTGAATGGGAGGAGATCCACCATCCATGGCTTGATCCTGGTTGAGCATGCCAACCTGGCTTATAGCAGGAATACTTGGTTTAGTGAAACAGGTGGAAGGGTGGATGAATTGCTATGTGAGAGCTAGTGTGATATAGTGGTCAGAGTGTTGGCCTGACCCTGGGAGGTCCAGGTTCTAGTCCCCAATTGTCCATGAAGCTTATTTAATACCTTTGGGCCAGTCAGCAACACTTGGCATAATCTACGTCACATGGCTGTTGTGATAGTAAAATAGAGAAGAGGAGGCTCATGTAAGTTGCCCTGGTTCCTTGCCAAGGAAAAATGGCCGCTGAAATGCTGATAATGAAATGAAGACTGCAACCAAGAAATTCAAAGAAGACTGGAACTTGGAAAGGCAGCATTGAAGGAACTAGGAAAGATTGTCAAGTGTAAGGATGTTTTACTATAGAACAAGGCCAAGATCATCCATATGACTGTACACCCAATCACTATGCATGGAAAGTGAAAGAAGAGAGCTGGCAGCAAGCAAACAGATGTGTTTGAAACATGCTGGAGGAGGGCTTTGTGAATATCCTGGTCCCATAGGAAAATGAACAAGTGGGTCCTTGATCAATCAAGTCAGAACATTCCCTGGAAGCAAAATGCTGGAACTGAGGCTGCCGTACTTTGGGCGTATCATGAGACTCCCTGAAGAAGACAGGTGTGCTCTGTGACAGTACAAAGCAGCATCAAAAGTGCTGTCAGCTATATTTTCACAAATTGTACCATTTTAGACAGCAGATGTAGATGTCATACATTCAAACACACTCCGATGCCAAAAATCCTGTTCCTTGCCATGGGCTAAGTGGAGTGACTAGTTCCAGCCTCTGTCTGTCTGTATTTATGGATTTATATCCTGCCTTTTTCCTGCAAAGGGCTCAAGGCAGCTTACATCATTCTCCTCCTCCATCTTACCCCCACAACAACAACCCTGTGAGGTAGGTTGGGCTGAGAGTCTGTGACTGGCCCAGAGTCACCCAGTTGGCTCCATAGCTGAGCAGGCACTAGAACTCAGATCGTCTGTCCCAGTCCCACACTCTTAACCACTACACTACACTGGTTCTCACTGTCTTCTGCCTTACATGCTCATGTTTTTAAAACATGCAAAGTAGTTTTTTTTCACATGGAGAAACATTCTGAAATTATGTTTCACACTCCTGAATACCTCTTCAGAGAGTCCAGGAAAGTTTTCTGTATGTTTTGTCAAAGCATGTAGATTGGGTCTAATTAATCCTTAATAACAATTTTCAGAGGGTAAATGTGTTAGTCTACCAAAAACAGTACAGAATCTTACGGCACCTTTGCGACAGATGCTCTTTTTGACACAAGGTTTTCATGGACTTTTATAATATATTAATTCATTTCCCTGTAGTCAGGATAAGCTGCCCCTCAAATCAGTTTTGTTTGTTTTTGCTTTAAATTCCCCTGGCTTGTGTTAACAATCACTCTGTCTTGATGTCTTAGGTATTTAATGAACGCTGCAGAGCTCATTATAAGCCTCCAAAGAATCAATGATGTATATGAGGGGAGAGTTTCCCCTGAAAATGGATTTCAATCATGCAGATAAACTGGAGAAGAAATGTGGAGCAAGCTGCCCGGGACCTTTGAAATTTCAGATCCATGGTGTTCATACACATAAATGATTTTGCTAATTAAGATAAACTCAGCGCTAATTTGTACAAGGTGTATAAGAAGGTTTTTTTTATTAAAATTCATTTGGAATATGGCATCAGTGTATTAACTCTGGCATTTTCAAGTGAGCAGGGATCTCTAAGACAGGAGGCAATCCTGCAGAATCTTTTCTTTGGGCAGAAATTTGCTCCTTTTCTAGTTTTGGTCTGAATAATGCAATTCGGCGTGACTCTCTGGAGCTATCTGAACCTGGAAGTTTGCACCCTCCTACAGGGTGTAGCAGGATGGCACACTCTATTGCAGTGGCACCTCTGTGGCTGCTCCGTGATCCTCTCGCCCTTAGGTTGCCACAGTGCTTTTCCAGAGCGCAAGGAGGGGCACTGGTTGGCACACCGGCAAGGTGCTGCATGTGCTGGTGGAGTCGGCCTGCTCATCACAGCCCCCTTCCCTGGAGCACCCACAAAATGCTGTCTCTGAGGTCAGTCTTAGGATATTGGGAGCTGCAATCAACACGGTTCTTCCCATGCTGGCTGCAAGGGTGGAGGGAAGGGGACTGAGTTCGGAGTGAATTTCTGAGCTGGGGCTCCCAAGTTATTCTGTGGCTGTCCAGACTCTGTCTAGTGGCCAGTGGATTGCACTGTAGATCATTAAATATGGCTTCTCATCACCTGGTCTAGTTTCAAAATCAGCACAGGCCTTCAAGGAATACTGCTGTGTCACAACAGTGGAAAGCTAATATAGTACGCCGAAAGGTTTAGCTAATATAACTTGGGCTTGACCAGGTAGCATTCAGGAAACAAAACCTCTAACTTTGACTGGTAGTGTACCTAAAATCCGAGTTAATGGATTCCAATACCAATATGGAATATCGTATTATGCAGTTGTGGGTCTTTATATTGGACCCTTGTACAGTTGGAATGGTAACATCTAGATCTTTTTACTTAAATTCTGAAAGAAGAGTGAAATATATTAAATGGGTTTATTTTGCTAAAGCTGAACTGATCCCATGTTTACAGCATAGTAGTTCAATTCATTTCATGAGCATGTTCTTCAGCATTCAAGTAACTATCTGATATTCTATTAAATGACAATTATACTATTAGAGTTTCTAGACATTATAAGCTTGTGAGACTTCTACCTTGATCATTTTGATTGTGAAATCAATTTTCAGTAGCTCCGAAGTATTGAGTCAGACAGCTGACAATTTTCCAAACAATTGTGAGTATCAAATGGAATACTCACAAATGTTAACAGAACAAGCAACCGCCCTCAGCAACAAGTGTTGGGACATCCCATGCCCATCATGTGATGCAGGACCTGCTCCTGCCATCTCTGTGCCGCATGCATTGGTGGAATGTAATGGCTGCCCACATACAACCCTGTGCTGTGCAAGCTTGTGATTGCACATTCTACCTTGGCCTGGGCTATGTGAAACTCACCAGAGTATAATCTCTGATGGCTACCAGACAGACAAGAACTTAAGTATAAGGCTAACTTACTCTCTTTAACTTACTCCCGAACAGCAGAACCCCTGTATTTGGGGCTTGGTTTCCACGCTTTTAGTTAAACACTGCTGACCTCAACCCGAACCGTAAGTTGTAAAGTGCCAAAGGAAGTCTTAAAGTGCTGAGGCAAGAATCTTGGGGGAAAGAAATGTATATAGTTTGAGTGTATAGGCTATTTTGCTGCTTGCTTGCTGCTGTTGCAGCCTGACATTACCTGCTTGCTCTAGTTTAGTGTTTGCTATTATCCGTGGCCTGGAACCAATCTGTGTGGATATGGGGGTCCTGCTTGTATATGGAAAAACATTCAAACTTGCAACTTGCCTGACATGGTGCCATCAACTGTGCCATTTCAGGATTCTAGCATTGCCTTCCCACCACCTCCGAGAAGCAGCGATTGCTCAGGGAAACATGCTCCCTCTTCTCAAGTAATCCAAGCTAGACTTGCCCTCTGAGAGCATGCAATCGCTACCTTCCTCCACCTCAAGCCCCTCCCTGCAAAACAGCATTAAGTAGCGCTCACAGAGGCTCAAGTACATTAAATTCCCATTGCACTTCTCTGTTTATGCAGAAAAACAGCACACACTTTTTCTTAAAGAAAAAAAAAAAGCCAGCAAACTTTTTATTTACCTGCAGGATTGGATAGTGAGGAGATAGTTGGCCACACACCAATGAAATCATACATCAAAGTCTAACATGATTTAATTTGTGTGAATATAATGTCCAGTATGTATAACAGATTTAGCATGATCAAGAAAGAGTTAAGTCAATGATTATTTAAATTGACATACTTGGAAGAGAACTAGTGAAAAAGAAAGTATTTTTTGCCTTTGTGAACATCATACTGATTTTTTTTAAATGTACTGGAAAGAGACTTTCAAAGCCCTCTAGAAGAAAGTCAGTTCATCATGTTTTGCTTTCTTGCTTTGGTAACTGGTGAGCGCGAGTGGCTTGTTTTCATGAGGGAGGCTTTTGAATATTCGTACATGAATGTACTCTGCATTGCCAACATGGACCTGAAAGGTAAGAAAAGGAATGGAATGAAGTCAAAGCTTTAGGGAGAGTGCATCATCCCATGATCCGGGTGTCAGGGACTGCTTCGTTTTCCTCAAAGAAAGACAATGCAGTGTAAAGTGAAGGAATCAATATTGCCTCATCCCATGGGAGGACTGAATTTTGTATTTCCATGGCACCAAACCACAGGGACTCCTATTTAGTCCATTGCATTCTAAAGGACATGTCCTCTAATCAATCAATCTCTCTCTCTCTCTCTCTCTCTCTCTCTCTCTCT